CCACAAAACCGCAGCTTCGGGCGGCTAACCAGGGGCACACGCCTCAGGTAGGGTGGTCAGTCGTTCGGTAGTTGGTTCGTCATTTAATTCGGTACCCCATTTGACTCTCTCATACGAACGGTGACCACCCCGTCTACAATCAATTAGGCTGCAGTTAACTACAAAACCGCAGCTCCTGGGTGGTTAATTGGGGACACACTCCTCAGGTAGGGTGGTCGACCGTTCGACAGTTTGTTCGGTATAAGAGGTGAACAGGGTTAATTGGCGGCACACGCCAGGGGCTGGGTGGTTGGCCATTCGTACGTACGAATGGCTTGCAACAGTTTCTTTGGTAAAAAGCAACACAAGTAGCAACAAAATAACAGGGTTGTAGCAGACAGAGGGGACTTTGTAACAGGGGTCAAAGAGCAATCATGGCCAATCAGAAAGGTAAAGCAGGTATAAAAGCCTAGAATTAGCTTTCCTCATTAAAAGTAAATTGAACTAGGAACATTGTTATGAAGAAAATGCAATTCCATTAGTAAAACCAATAAAAACAGGCCTGCTTTATTATTATTATTTGTAAAGGTCCAATATTTTCCACAAATCTATAATACAAAAATACAAACAAGTTTTGTAAAAGTTTAAGTTATAGGAATAAAAAGTAATGAGAGCCCAGCTCAAACAAGCTAAACCACTAAAGGACTACATGACGGTCTAAGACTGCAATCAGGGCCGGCGCTTTCTATAGGCATGCTGCAGCCACCTGAGCGCTCTATATCTGTTAAATCAATTCCAGCGTATGTAGCTTGGATAGTCTGGAAGAACAAGATATCTAGGTCTAAATCTACACGGCAAACTTACCACTGGTAACAGGAAGGAACCCCAACGTGCATTTCGCCGGTAAGGCAACTCTTCAGGGGTTCTTTTCCCTTCATCACTTTGTCTAACAGGGAAGAACTGCTCTGTAGTGACAGTTAGTACTACTTGCAGCCAAGCACAGGTGCCCTCGAAGGCACAGATCAGGATTAGAGTTGAGCGAACCCGGACTGTAAATTTCGGGTTCATACCGAACATTACGTTTTTTGGAAATATCAGTGTGTGTTCGGGTTGGAGTTCGTTGTTTGGCGATTTAATGGCGCATTTTGAAAGGCTGCTGGGCAGCCAATCAACAAGCATTTGACTTGTGTGCCCTTAGAAGCCATCACAGCCATGCCTACTAATGGCATGGCTGTGATTGGCCAGTGCAGCATGTGACCCAGCCTCTATATATAAGCTGGAGTCGCATAGAGCCACACGCACATGAGCTCTTATTAGTGTAGGGAGAGGATGCTGCAGCTGTTAGGGACAGATTAGGCAATAATTCTGGTGTTAAATCTGCAAACTACAGCGATTATTCAAACTACAGCGATTATTTTTGTGGGTGCTATAATACAAAATTTTTGTACCCTGCCCTGAGCCCAGTGCCACAGAGAGTGCAGTGCACTTGCAACTGCATGTGTGCCAGGCACATTACTTTAATCCTGTTCTGGTAGCTTGGTGGCCAACATCTGGGCATTTTTAAATACTGCAATTTTTTTGGTGCTAAATAGTACATTTGCGTACTGCATTTCTTGCAGTCCAATAAAACCCTTAAATACTTCTGTTACATTGTTGGTTTAAAAAAAATCTAGCTTTTTGGTGCTAAGTAGTACATTTGCGGACTGCGGTACACTTTATATCAGAGAGTCAAATAGAACCGTCAAATACTGTGCTTACAGCGCATTTTTAAAAATTCTATTTTTTTTTTGGTGCTAAATAGTACATTTGGTGCCTGCACTTCATATCTGAGAGTCAAATAGAACCGTCAAATATTGTGCTTACATTGCAGTTTTAAAAATTCAAATTCTTTAGGTGCTAAAAAGTAAATTTGGGACATGCACTTCATATCTGAGAGTCAAATAGAACCGTCAAATACTGTGCTTACATTGCAGTTTTAAAAATTCAAATTCTTTAGGTGCTAAAAAGTAAATTTGGGACGTGCACTTCATATCTGAGAGTCAAATAGAACCATCAAATACTGTGGTTACAGCGCATTTTTAAAAATTTAAATTGTTTTGGTGCTAATAAGTACATTTGGTGTGTGCACTTCATATCTGAGAGTCAAATAGAACTGTCAAATACTGTGCTTATAGCGCAGTTTTCAAAATTCTAATTCTTTAGGTGCTAAAAAGTAAATTTGGTGTCTGCACTTCATATCTGAGAGTCAAATAGAACCGTCACATACTGTGCTTACATTGCAGTTTTAAACATTCAAATTCTTTAGGTGCTAAAAAGTAAATTTGGGGCGTGCACTTCATATCTGAGAGTCAAATAGAACCGTCAAATACTGTGCTTACAGCGCATTTTTAAACATTTAAAGTCTTCAGGTGCTAAAAAGTAAATTAGAGGCATGCACTTCATATCTGAGAGTCAAATAGAACCGTCAAATACTGTGCTTACAGCTCAGTTTTAAAAAATTGAATTCTTTAGGTGCTAAAAAGTAAATTTGGTGCCTGCACTTCATATCTGAGAGTCAAATAGAACCGTCAAATACTGCTGTGACATAGCAGTTTTAAACATTAAATTTTTTTTGCTCCTAAATAGTACATTTGCAGCCTGCGGTGCACTTCATATCTGAGAGTCAAATAGAACCGTCAAATACTGTGCTTACAGCGCATTTTTAAACATTTAAAGTCTTTAGGTGCTAAAAAGTAAATTTGGGGCCTGCACTTCATATCTGAGAGTTAAATAGAACCGTCAAATACTGTGCTTACAGCACAGTTTGAAACATTCACATTTTTTTGCTGCTAAATAGTACATTTGCGGCCTGCGGTGCACTTCATATTTGAGAGTCAAATAGAGCCGTCAAATACTGTGCTTACAGCGCAGTTTTAAAAAATCTAATTCTCTAGGTGCTAAAAAGTAAAACTGGTGCCCGCACTTCATATCTGAGAGTCAAATAGAACCGTCAAATACTGCTGTGACATAGCAGTTTTAAACATTAAATTTTTTTGCTGCTAAATAGTACATTTGCAGCCTGCGGTGCACTTCATATCTGAGAGTCAAATTGAACCGTCAAATACTGTGTTTACAGCGCATTTTTAAAAATTCTCATTTTCAAGTTCTAAATAGTACATTTGGTGCCTGCACTTCATATCTGAGAGTCAAATGTAACCGTCAAATACTGTGCTTACAGCGCATTTTTAAACATTTAAAGTCTTCCAGTTCTAAATAGTACATTTGGTGCCTGTACTTCATATCTGAGAGTCAAGCAGAACCGTCAAATATTGTGCTTACATTGCAGTTTTAAACATTCTAATTCTTTAGATGCTAAGAAGTAAATTTGGGGCCTGCACTTCATATCTGAGAGTCAAATATAACTGTCAAATACCATGGTTACAGTGCATTTTTAAACATTTAAATTCTTTAGTTGCTAAATAGTAAATTTGGGGCCTGCACTTCATATCTGAGAGTCAAATAGAACTGTCAAATACTGTGCTTACAGCGCAGTTTTAAAAATTCTAATTTTTTTGCTGCTAAATAGTGTCACGGGTGGCGGTATGAGAAGTGGGAGTCTTCAGCGTGGTAATGGACTATCAGGGCCTGGTGCAGAGTAACCACACGTCCTCTGGCATTGAGCACCAGCGTTTGCGTGGCCACATACCAGAACCCTGATGCAGCTACAGCGGATCCCAGGAACTAGGAGCTTGATTTGCAGACCTCCCAGTAACTGGATAAAGGGGCTTTGCAGCAGACATGTATCCAGTACAGAAACAAGGCAAGGCTAGGATAGTCACCAAACATGAAGACAGAACTAATAGAACCCAGAACCAGAGCAGGACAGAAAGCAGAACCCAGAACATGTACACAAGACATGAGGAAAACAATAACAGGGTAGGACAGGACTGTACATGAACTGGGACTACACTGCCTAATGTTCGCTAAAAGAACCATACTAAACCACAATAGCACTTACCTGCAAGAAAGGGCAGAGAGTTGAAACAATGCTGCAGGTCAAGACTGAAACGAAAGGAAAATGGAAAACAAACGGGTGTTGCAACATAAAACAAACATATAAATGAATCCAGGAGACTGTGAATTCCAGGGACGGAATAATGGAATGAACCCAGAAAACCCAGCATAAGGAAAACCAGACATGGAATAGAAAACCAAAAAACTAAACAAGAATTGTAAAAAGAGTACTGAATACCAGAAGCCATCACCAGACTGATCCGCAGAACAAGGCATGATGTGACAAATAGTACATTGCGGCCTGCGGTGCACTTCATATGTGATAGTCAAAAAGAACCATCCAATTCTGTGGTTACAGCGCATTTTTAAACATTCAAATTCTTTAGGTGCTAAAAAGTCAATTTGGTGCCTGCACTTCATTTCTGGTGTATGTGTGCAAAACTGGCTCGTTACCGCTTCCCAAGACAGTCTAAAGACTTTTAAAAAAAGTGAAAAATAAGTTATTGTGATTGCTTCATATACAGAAGCATTAATATACATTTCTATATTGTGTAAAGACACAACTACAAAGTTAAAAACCAAACACCAAAACAACATGGAATGAAGGTCATGCGGGTGACGTGTGCAGTTTGGAGGAAGAGGCGCTGGTCACACAGAGGCACAAGCACAGCATAAGAGTGCAAAAGCAGAGCGGCCGTCCCCTAGCGCTCGTCGACATGTATTATCTTTAGAATCCTTTAGAATTCCCACAGTTATCCAAGTGACAGATGGAGAGATAAAAGGAACCATAACAGATTTAACAAGCCATTCGCAGTTTCACAGTCAGGGGGGCAGTCCGGTGACCGGGACCCAGACATTGTCTGGGCAGCGGTCGGACGACAGGAACCCAATATGCCTGATGTTGAAATTAGGAGTCACAGTGTGGAATGGATTAGCAGGGTCTGGTGCAGGGTAACCGCGCGCCCCCTGGTGTTGAGCACCACCGTTTGTGAGGCCATATACCAGGACCCTGATGCAGCTTCAGCGAGCAGAAGCAGGCGATAGTGGAGTTTCAGCTGCAGCACGCACGGGTCAGTCGCTCTGCCCCAGACTTGCCTTCCAATTGATCCAAGTTAAAGGATTTAAAGTGGACTCATTACAATTAAAGGGTCTCAAAAGAGTAGTGTATTGTTATTTGTAGTCACTACCTCCCCGCGTCGGGAGTGGGTAATTTGCGCACCTGCTGCCTTCCTTGCATGTGGTAGCCGTTTCTCAAGCTCTCTCTTTGGAATCGAACCCTGAGTCCCCGTTACGATTCCAGAGAGGGCAGACATCCAAATGTGTTGTCACCGTCACGGGGACGTGCGATCGGCACGAGGTTATCACAGACTAGCGCGGCCGCCTGTCCACCACCAGCGTTTATTAAAATAAACCATGCATGGATCCCACCAGACTTGTCTGTACCTTGTGCAGAATAGACATTTATACCGACCTCACCCAGCCATTGTTATACTCAATTGCACTTATTTTTTTTTTATATGTCCCAATATTTTGGGGGCTACCCTAATTAAAAAAAAAAAAAAACAGTGTGGGCTACCTCTTCCTCCTCCACCGCCGCTTCCACCTACACCGCCATGGTCACTGCCTCCTCAACCTATGGGTCACTTAGTATAAACTATGTACACAATAGCAGAGGCTTGTGAAGGCCTTTTCTCCATGCATCAGGAGTTGAGCTCAGTTTGAACAATGAAAAAGAATACCCTGCACTCCAACCCTCTCTCAAATGGATAATTCTGGTGATCCTCATTACAGCCATGATTCCAAAGCTAAATTCCATCTAGTGCTATTTAATGGCTCTGCTGTATTTTTAATTTTTATGTATTTCATGTTATTTTAAGTGATTTCTTTATCCACATTTGTTTGCAGGGCACTTACCCCCATTTTACTTACTTTTGCAGCCCTCTAGCCCTTTCCAGTACTTTTTTAGAGGCATTTTTGTGCCCAAAAGTTCGGGTCCCCATTGACTTCAATGGGGTTCAGGTTCGGGGTCAGGTTCGAGCCCGAACCCAGACTTTTTTCCGAAGTTTGGCCGAACCCGCCGAACGCGAACATCCAGGTGTCCGCTCAACTCTAATCAGGATATCTCTGAGCATTTTCCTGATTTCCTCCACACTTTTGCTTTAGTTTCATTTCCTTTTACTGCAATATTTTACCACTGTTTTGTGTGACTTTAACAGATTGTATTTTGGTACTGAGCACTGCTTAGTCAGGGTTCCCCCTGACAAGTATAGTTAAAGTACACTTGTACACAATGTAACCATTTCATGGTCAGTGGTTACAAATTGATATATTACTAGATTGCTACTAAGTTCTACCTCTAACAATCTCAAGCAGAAACTCAGGGGAAACTCTAGCATTCTCTGTATATAGTTGTAATATACCTTTTCTTATCCTTTATATACATTTGTATACAATTTTAAAAAAAAATGTAATATATTTATTTTTTTAAATGTTTATTTTTTTTCTGCCATACCCTGTAGGTACTAAGGGGTTAAAGACCAATGCTGCTTGAGAGGTTTTTCAAAGCGATAGAAGAGGCATTATCACTTTTAAACCTAATGTTTATTTCCTTTCCATGTTCCTTGAAGAGTATTATTAACCTTGTATCCATTTAAATTATAATATGTGCATCACACTTAGATTAAATTTGAAGCATATTAAGCAAATCATTAGGAATTGAATTACTTAATTATCTTATCATAATATAGTGATTGACTTGCATATATAAAACATTTTAAATAACTGTGTATCCTCCACTAAAGCATTACTTTAAAAACAAAGCAAAACTGTGCATTCCCAGATTTTCATATTTTCATACACCCACATTTATGCAGACCTTATCTATTCCCACTTTTTGGCAGTAGGAAGGAGTACAGACTTGGTGATGTCTGTGTATCTATGTTGCGACCTACTTGGAATATGACTTGTCCAAGGAACTGACCAGTTGGAGAATACTCTGTAACCATTTTTTTTTTTTATATTTATCATATTCTTCAATTTTGGAGTAATATGGAGATGTGGAGATGCAAAAGGAGGAATAAAAGGAAGGCATATATGGGGATATTAACAGTTGAGAAGTTATAATGGGGCAGCAATTAGGATGACACCTGTAATGGGGATGGACGATGTAGTGGGATTGTTAAATTCCAGGTACATATGATGGCATATTGTAATGATGCTAATGAGATCATATTGAACATAGGGATTTGGACAGGAGTTTTGCCTTCTTTAAACCTTGTCAAATACAAAGAAAAAATGGAAACAAAATACGTTTGTAAAAAGTAATTAATGAATACAAATGACATCCAATTTTCAATAATACTGCCCCATCAGCAGCATCAAGAAATTTAGCAAATCACTACTCACCCAAACACAAGATATAGTAGTGGCCTTGAGTATACACATGCAGTGCAAATTGTGTTCTTATGGTACCAAAGCTTCCAGCATGTTGGTCCTACTTAAGCTTTACACCACAACAAAGAAATTGTAAAATTTAAAGGACCATCTCTGCTCCTGTTAGCTCCGGCTGCTGCGGTGGAGGGAGACCAACTGGCTCCACTCCCGGTTGCTCACTCTGTCGCTGGGGTGGGGGACCAACTGTCTTTACTTCCAGTTGCTCCAGCTGCTGCTAGGGAGGAAAACCATCCGTCTCCACTCCCAGTAACTCCAGCTGCCACTACGGAGGGAGACCAGCTGTCTCCACACAAAGTAATTCCAGCTTCCTCATGCGAGGGGTACCGACTGTCTCTGGGGAGAGAGGACAGTACTGTCCACTCCCTGTAATGTACACTGCCGCCCTGTAGGGAGGACAAAACTCTCCTCTTCTGGTTGCACATACTGCTGCTGGGAAGGGAGTCTGACTGTCTTCCACTGTCACTGGAGAGGGCTGTATCTCCTCCATGCTCTCCTTCCATAGGTCAGTTTGGATCGCCACCCTCCATTTCAGTTCTGTGTATGCTGGGATAGGGTCATCCTTCTGGCACAGAACCTCCTGAAGCTGTTGCTGGAGTTTCACATCAAACCAGGACACTGCTTGAGTGCTCTTCATAGCAAAGGGTCCATCTTCAGATACCAGTGATGGTGACTGCTGTCAATATATATATATAATTTAAAAATGTATTATTTTTATTGTATATGTATATATATATATATATATATATATATATATATATATATATATATATATATATATATACTAAAAACTTATTTTAGTGTCTGCAGTCCCCCTACAGTCAGTTCCTTAGACTTCCATTCCGGCCATGTGATCGCAATGTCATTGTGAACACATGGCCCAATGCAGTCGGATTTGCAGCAGGGGGACTACATGAATTGTCAGGCAGCCACCTTCCCACGAAGTGGATTGCTTGGGTAGGTAAGCAATTGAGCCCTCCAGAGCTGCAAACCGTTCTATGTTTTTGCAACAGCTGTTAAGCCCTATTCAATTGCGAAACACATAGAAAGCTGTAACGGTGTTAAGGGGTTAATGAAGCAGTTTCTGTGTATAGATCATCTGCCATTTAGGAGTTAAATCACTTTTATTTCTGCTAATACAGCCCTAGTCACACCTCCCCTGACTGTGACTCACACAACCTGCATGAAAACAACATGGTTTCATTTTCAACCAGATGTAACTTACTTTAAAAAACGTTATTATCTGCTCTGTAAATTTTACTTTAATTACATACAGAAGGCTCCTGAGCAGTCTAGCAAGCTAGTAACTGAGCAGGAGATAAGAAATGTGAAATTAAACAGAATTTGCTATAAAGTAAGGGTAAACATTAGATGACTCTTTAAAGGAAGTGTTTAGGTAGATTGTGTAAGTCACATGCAGGGAGATGTGCCAAGGGCTGCATAAACAAAGTGATTTAACTCCTAAATGGTAAAGAATGGGGCAGTGAGACTGCCGGGGCATGATCTATATGCCAAAACTGCCTCATTAAGCAAAAGTTGTTTTGGTGACTAAACTGTCCCTTTAAATAGAGAAATTACGAATTCAGGATGAAAGGTAGCAATGTATCTCAGAAGAATTAGATACTTCCTGAAATTTTTTAAAACACATTTTTCAGAATATGCAATGGGCTAAAAGAGACCTAGCTTCATCTTCCCATCCTATTACAATGAATCCCCAGGCCCATCATATTCAGCAATACCGAGTAACTTCCTCAATCCCCAAGTTTATTCTACTGTCACTATCTTCCCCAGAGCAATATAGACCAGCTCTTACCCAAGAAAGTTATTTTGCAAAATTTATTTTAACAGTACACTTGAAGAATGGGTCATTGATGACTGTTATGACATGGTAATGTACTGAATTTGGATCCCTGACATCTTTGTTTTGGCGTTATTTTCATTTTAGAAAACCTATGGTCCCAGATCATTTCATGAAGTCACGGAAGCTAATCAAAGTGTATGTGTCATACATGCATGTTTCTGCTCCACACAAACACAAACCTGCAAGACAACATTGGTTGCTGAGCAACTAAAAGGGATTTTGCTACTAGACTCAAAGATTGGACTATTCATTCTTCATATGGTTTCCCTTAAGTGTCTTGTGCCTACACAAACTGCATTTAGTGCAAGATGTCTCACACTAAAAGATATGGACATCTAGTCAATTTCAACAAATTTCAGTTCATTCTTTTGTTGGTTTAAAATTCCCTTATTTCTCTCAGGCTCTTTGAAGTGTATTAATAGCACTATGCTAGTATAACCTCCTAGAAAGGCAAAAAAAATAATCAATAACCCAATGTTATTATCAAACTCTAAGAATCACAGGTGAATAACTGCTTATTCTTTTTTACTGGATTAACTCACATACTAAGCTTACCAAGAATACAGCTAACAGCCAAAATCAATAAGTGAATCACAAGCTTTACTAAGACAATGGAAATGTAATTAAATACAGTAATCACCGGTAATGCACTGAAGCTGGATAAGAGGTGAGTGTTTTTCACTATTTAACTTTTGTTTGGGTTAAAACTAAAATTTACAAAATGTTAAAGGTGGAAGGTCTATTACAATTTACTGAATATTGTACCAATGCATATGCATAATCTTATGTTAGGAAATATAATTGTTATTTTTCAAAATCTGCTTATTCAATTCTCATTTGTTCAGAAATAAAAGTGAGATAAGTGCCAGGAAATGGGCACAGTCTTCCATTAGAGGCCCATCGGATGATTGTTGTTGATCCCTTCATCCTACAGCTCACCTTTGGAAATTAGAGGGTCCAGGACTTGAAAACAATGCTTTTTTTCCTCACTTTAGACATACCTGAGTAATATAATGTTGGGAGAAAAAGGAAGCTATTTGGCTCTCTTTTGGTTGATATGGAGTTGTGGGCACCCTAGCTTAATATCTAAAGGTCACCATACCCCACAAATACTCGGAACAAGCATGAGGAAGTTTCTGGACTGCCAAGGAAGGGAGGACCGGACTGCTGCCAGAGATAAGGGATTGTGACTAAGGAGATACAATTGTAACTAACCTGGAGAGTGAATAAAAAGGGATGAATTGGAAGGGGACTTACCGGTCTGTCAGAAGAAGTGTGGGGATCGTAGCTTTCCCAATCGCCCTTCACAGTTATTGACGTA